ATGAGAATGATAATGTTCCATGTCATTTGTCCACATGATATCTTGTAGAACGGAGGATTATATGATCTCCTATCTTAGGACATGCAACTGACTAGGTCAGAGTTCGACAAAAGCTTTGAGAGCTACGATTGCTTATTAGTTTTTGAAGTCATACTTACAACTATAGTTATTAGACTTATCCAAGTGGGAAACTGTTGGATTATGTGTCTAAGCCCATAACTATAATTTGTATGTACTTGAATTGATAGTGACATGGTCCTTTTGGGTCGCCTTCACACTTGCAACTAGATTAATTTGGAATTAATTTTGGGATTAAAGGAATTAATTAAAAGTGTAGGGACTAAAAGTGTAATTGTTCAATAGTTGAGCAAAAGAGTCCGGAACCTTCCTAGGGAAGGTGGTGGACTAAATTTCATGGTTTATGTAAGATTATTCTAGAATTTCTAGAATATCTTATCATATATGGATAATCAAAAAAGGTGGATAATTACCATATTTGAAATTAGGGTTATCCATAGCATCTTTGGTGCACTATATAAAGGTTCCTAAACCCTAAGAATTTCGGCCACTCAAAAAGAAGAAGCAGAAACCGAAATTTTGATCTCCTCCTCTCTCATATCATTCTCTTGCATTGTGTGTTTCTGAGCCATTAGATGTGTTACACTTGTGACACTAAGTTCTCAAGCTTCAAGATCTACAAGGGAATCATTGTTATTATAATATAGCAATCAAGGTATGTAACCTAACCCTAGTTTTATGTGGATTTCAAAATTTGTAATTACTTCCTAGGGTTTCTCCTTTTTGTGTTCAAGTTTGCAAGTTCAATTAGAGAAACCTAGATCCAAAGCATTAGGGTTGCATGCACACATAGAAATTGTTGTTATGCTCAAAACCCATCACACAATACATCGTGACACCATCTAACCACTAGAATAATACACTCACGGTACAACACCGATCTTGCTATCATTCCATCATTGCCATGAAGACTCATGATCAGCACCACAAGGGCCTAAAGGTACTCAACCATCATTCCACCGACTTGCAAGAACCCATACAACATCCCTCTCAACACTTACTAAACACGACACATGTCATACAATTCTACAACTCACAATCCTTCCACGGCCCAAGTTGCTACCGATGAAAAATCAGATGAATACATGGTCATACGTAACCAAAGAATATATAAATAGTTGAGCGCTTGTTCCAATTCGAAAGTAATAAATCAAACAAGAACCATGCCATAAAATTCGGACCAAATGTTCTGAGGTTATCTTACTCAGTCCACATGCATCCCTCATGAAAATATTTGACAAACTACCATAATACATACGCTCTAGGGAGCACATAACCAACCCTAGATCTACTGCATTCCTTCTTCATTACAACTTTACCCAAAACGTGAAGTACCGGTGGATCTAGCAAAATGACAAACCTCAACCGTTGGCAAAACATTCTCCTAAATAACCAAAACAAGATCCAATACCTTAAATGAAGTTGAACACATACCACCAATGCGCAAATAACACGATAAAACTTCCAAATTCGGAGGAAAATTCCAAAATTTTCCAGAAAACGTTATTAGAACCGCATTCGGATCGACCATAAATACCAACCCTGTAGACGTAACATCACAAACTGAAATTTGTGTAGACTCGAGGTCACACCTGAAACCTAACTATCTTTTCCATCCTGTTCATATTCATTCCGATATGGTTTTCTATGTCGACTCGAGTTTATCACCATGAGTTGAATCCAAAAATGTTAATGGGTTTGTGAATCCAAGCGTTGACACAAACAACCGCAACACCCAACACTTACCAAACACGACACATTCCTCATAAACAATCGTTTTTTTCTTAGCACTAATTGACACCCAACACCACCACCATACCCATGTATACCTTATCCCTTTATAACAACCTTCATCCTCCATTGCATAGACCACCATCACCATCTTCATTCCTTGATCTATTCATTAGTGACCCTTAATTGCAACACCACACTCGATATCTATCGTCACCATCTTCAACCTCCATCATCACATCAACGAACACAACACATGTAATAATAAAACACAACAATAGGGAGAAGTGGGAAAATCCACACGCATCTGCAAAAATCAAATTCTAAGAATCAGGCCATGTTCACCACAAATCGCAACCACCAGAGACCACATGTTTATATGTTGCTTTGAGTGAAAACGAAAAACACGAAGAAGGAAGAGTGAGACTCAAAGATTCAGTGGAGGGAGTAAAAGATGAAGATACAGACCGGGGTGGGTGGATGGATTTTTAAAGTTGTTTCCAACGGGATTTAGTGGCGATGGCGAGGAAGGCGTCGACGAGGTATGGATGCGACAAAGAGAGTTGTGTGGTGGAGGAAATGGAGGTTGACCGCTTCCAATTTAGAAGAAAATCGATTATTGGGGTTGGGAAGAAGACGTAGTCTTCACTCTTTGGGAGCTTTGTTTTAATTTAGGGTTTTAATTATAGTATAATCTACGTTTTAATTTTAGTTCAAAAAAAAAATCAAGAAGTCACATAGACTATGGGTAACCGGTAAAACTGGGAAGATATTGGATATTTCCCTATTTTACAGGTAAAATAACATTTTAGTGGCCTACCAATCCGGGATTAAGTTAAACTTTATTGTGCTACAATGTTATTTTCTGTTAAAAAACTAATTGACAAATGTAATAAAATTTGTTAAACTAGATGATAAGTTAGACTATAATTGTAAAATAACATTAAAAAGCATCTTGATACATAGTTAAAATATTTGGCTAGTAAACTACTTCAAATGTCTATAAAGCACCAGTTCATACATTTTATATTTTTGTAAATTAAGACCAACAATGAAAGTTGTCATAGATGATCCCCTTATTTATTTATTTTTTATAAATTTATTGTTTTGACATCTCCTTTAAAACTACGTTTTGACAACTTTTTTCCTAACGTGAAAACGAATATATAAAAACACTAATGTAAAAATGAAAAAAAAATAAAAAAATCTTAATGTATAGTTGTAAAATACTGAACATATAAGAGGACATTAGGAAAAAGTTGTAAAATGATGTTTATAAAAAAAAGTTGTAAATAACTTCAAAACTAGTTGTAAAAAAACTGGTTAAAAATGTTGTAAAATTAGTAAAAACTAAAAAACTAAGTTTTATAAAACATATAAAAAAATTATAATTTTTTTACAAGATTGGTAATATAAATGTATATTTGGAAAACTTATGAAAAAAGTTTTAGGAGCTAATCAACAAATTATCTCAAACATGAATTTTACATGAAACGAATTTGCAATACATGAACACAACATGAATTTTAAAACGTATCTTAAGATCAAACACGAACACAAATTATAGAACATAATTAATTTGTATAACATTTGACACGAGATGAAGACACCACGGTTCTACCTGTGCCACACGAAAACTCGTATTTATATATGAATTTCAATAAAGCCACTATACACGAATTTATATACTTCTACAGTAGTTCTACGTTTAATTTAAGGGTTAATACCACAAAAATCATTATTTATGAGGAAAAAATTTGCTCCTTATATGACATTATATTTTGGAAACATTTCATTTTTGGGCAATGGCCGATCATCAACATATTATGATAACATGTCGATTTGGTTGACGTATAAATTTTTCTCGATTTGTATTTAACCCCAATATTTTTATCCCCATTTACCATTAATTTTGGATTTTTTTTCTTCATTTATAATGCTTGACGGGTCAACGGTAGGTATGTTAAAACATACTCATATCTTTAAATGAAAAAGGAAGAGGTGTTGAAGGGTGGGATGTGTTAGTTAGCAAGTCATTTTATTTTATTTATTATTTATTATTTATTTATTTATTATTTTTTTGGATCACGGTGTTTGTGTATCTAATATTATTTTTTTTTGAAACGAAGTAAAAACACCTGGTGTAAGTCTCAAAATCGAAACAACTAATAAACAATAACACATGTTAATCTCTAAATCAATCAAATTTGTTAATTCATCGTATTATACTTTCTTTTTTCATTTTATCATAACTTTGTATTTTCATATTTTCTTATTACAACATGCACTTTAAAATATTTTTTATTAGCCCATTTGATAAATATACTTATTACAGTAATAGATAACCTCTTGATTAGAATTATGATGACATGACACCACTTAATAGGTTTTTATGCCGTAACAAAAATAGTTTTTTCTCATCGGTTAAATGTCTCGCCTTTCAAGTAGAAGTCGCAAGTTCGACTATTGCCTTCAATGCCTCTTCATTTTTCATTTTAAACAATTACTTTTTAAAATACCTATTGATGACCGGTAAAAAATAATGGTAAATGGAAAAAAATGTTGGGGCTAAATGCATATTGAGATGCAAGTGTTGTGGCTAAATACAAACTGCGGAAAACTTGTATGTTTGTCAAACCAAAACATAATCATAGTGAGTAGTGACCAATGGCCAAAAAGTGAAAAAAAAATAATAATAATTCAAAATATAATGGCATGTAAGAAACAAAAAAAGGGTTGGAGTAAAAACATAAGTAAACAAAATGTTGAGTTTTTAAAGTATATAGACTTTATACATAACTATGGCAGTTTAAAGGTTAAAATGTAATAAGAGCAAATTTTATCTACTTTTAAACTAACACCTAATACGATATATGTTCATCACGAAACTTAAACCATCGACCCAAAAAGAGAGGACAACTCTTTAGTATATAATGTACAAGCTAAAAGGGTAAGTAACATATGCCGTTAAATCGTGGAAATCTATATAAGAAAACAATAAATAGCAAGGTCTAAGTCATTTATTAGACGATATTGTAACTAGAAGTAAACAAAATGAATAGAGTTTAAGAGTTGTAAGCAAGCTTAAGTCAAATGTATGAAAAGTGAAAAGTGAAAACGATGGATAAATTGTGGTTGAATTCGAATATATTAATTAAAGCATATAAGTGCTATATTATATAAGATAAATTGTCATTACAATCTCTATTCTCTAACACGAAACATTATTTACAATTTATCTTACAACGCATGTAAATCATGCTACCCTCCTCTCCTCTTCTTAACATCAGTATCAAATCCTCCATCCCTCATGTCATGGTGTCTTGTTTTAAAGAATAAAACATTAATTTACTCGACCTCCTAACAACCCCTCAAAGCTCAAAATGCCAAAAAACAAAAGTACTTCATCATTTTGCGTCTTTTCTTCTTACTAACACTCTCCTTCTTGTCCTCTTCAAACATACCTTCAGAACTACTACTAGAAGATTCTGTACTTGTGTTTATAACACCAATTGAAGTACTTTTGTTCATATCCTCCTCTTTTGCTTCGCATGTCTCGCTTTTAACAGACACTATTAACAAATACTACAGTAAGCACAGGTTGATAGAATCAAGATTCAAGAAAAGGGATTTTTACAGAAAAACGAGCATATATTATATTTATATACCTGTAGTGGTGGGGCATATGACTAGCTTTGAGTTTATAGTTGCAGAAAGATTGAATTTGATACTTGAATCTTTCATGTTTTCGTCATCATCTAGTTGTTGTAACAACGCGATTGAGTCAAAGTATTCATCTGATGTCATGGTCAAACAACTTGAATTTGCAGAACTCGAAGAACATGAACCTGGAGCATCAACAAGATCGTTCAACTCAAAAAAGTCTCCAGTCAAAATACATTCCATATCCGACGAGTTTTCAACTGCAAAAAATATTCTGCTTAGTGCTTTATGATCGTTCACATTGATTTTGTACTCTTGCATCACCCAATCAGTCTTTCGTTCATGTGGGGTCTTCCCTTCGTAAAACCTGAAGGTAGTTCTGAAACCACAAATGGCGGAATTAGAGAATATCTCGCATGGCTCCCCTGTTTCTACCCAGAATCCGAACTCTGATTCAGTTTTCACAACTGAACAAAAGTACCACAGGTCACCTGCAAGATTTTGATTCAATGACGATTAGAACAAGATCAAGAACCTCGAATTCAAATCTTGATTACTAACCAGGTAGATCTTGGGGACGATACTTGTAAGGATTTACTTCAGATTCTACATTCGAGGGTAGAGATTTTCCGTTTTTGAAATCTAACAATGACATACAGATGCCTTCATCTGTCCAGTATACATTTTCAATTTCATGAGGACTTGATGATGGAGGAGACATTGCAGATTAATAAATCTTCACCTGAATTATCAGTTTAACCATAAAAAATCAGAAAGCGAAGAACAGCAAGAAAAAATCTTTTTTCTCAAATTCAATCAGCAACCGGAAATAGAAACAAAAACTTTATGCTGAAAACGATCAAACTACTTTCTTTCCAAATTGGTAGTAATACAGTCACTCCATTCAAACAACACCCAAATCAGCAATTCAGTATACAGTCACTCAACTCAACGAAATTCTGTTGTACACACAGAATCGCAAACATCAAACAATAACACGACTCGAAATACATATAAACTTGATAAAAATTTCAAGGTGTATCAGCATTCGAATTGAAACAAACCCAGAATGAAACTCGGATTACGCAAATTCGGATGAAAATACACCGACCACTTGATAGATAATAGTTTAAGAATTTTCCAACGAAGATCAAGAAATACCTGTAAGTAAGAAGAGTCACCGGCGATCGGCGGTAGACTCTCTCTCTCTCTCTCTCTCTCTCTCACACAGACCGTTTACTGTGTGTTTTCTTTTGCTTAAGAGAGCGAACGACGACGAAGAGAATGTGGGGGTATTTATAGGAAAAATATCTAACAGTGGTTAACACTTGACACTTAACATGGAAGCATAGTTAACGGAGTAAACAGTAGTGGATTTGTGTGCCTCTTGCCGATGATCGATTGTTTCCCTACGTGTCACCTTTTCATTCGTTTGATTGTATAATGTATGGAGAGGGCGTAGTGTTATTATCGAAGGCTCACGTTACACCCAGTGACGACTGGGTTAGCGTTAAATGCGTGTTTCGAGGAAGCTTCTCTTCTCCAAATTTTTATTATTATTCCGTACATCAGGAACAAATTTGAATTATCTTTTTCATTTATAAACCTAAGTTTTTTTAGTTTCAAAATATGTTTGTAAAATAAAAGTTAACTAAAAATGAATTTGTTTTAACTCTAAACCATAATGTGTTTGTTAAATCGGAACGAGTTTGATTTAGAAACCAAAAGAGAAAGGATATCGCATGTTTTCGATGAATTGAATAACATATAGTTTAACAAAAGAATCTCATATTAAATAATGGTAGAATGTTTTAGTAAATAAAAAAATAAATAAACTTTGTGAACAAAAAACACGTAATACTTGGGTTTTGCTAAAAACGCAAAACTTTTTTATTTTGAATTGTTCTAAATATACGAAAACTTCTTTGTTTGCTAGGATTATGTTGCTAATTTATGTTGCTAGGAATATGATTTATCAGGGTAATTATCTTTTCGTTTTTTTTTATATAGTTAGGTGATTTTTTTTAACACTTCCAATAAGTTTGTTACTTAGACGTGTATTAAAAAAAAGTACTAAAATGTGAACAAAACGAAAAGCTAATTAGCCTAATTAATCAATTTTTATTTTTATTAAGGTAATCGATGATAATATTTGCAATATTAATAGATTCAGTTAAGGTAATCGAAAAGCTAATTAGCCTAATTTCTTTCCAAATTGGTAGTAATTATGAACCATTTATGAGCCTTTAAATTGGTCACGACATGTTGGGAGTCGTTTTTGATAGCGTAATTATCACATATATATATATATATATATATATAAGACAAAAACAATGCGATCGATGTAGATTTTAATACATGAAGAAAACTTCATTGAAGATAGTGTTCTTTTTCATATTATTGGTCTTTATTTTTGATACTTTTAGTCTAGTAAATTTTAATTTTTATATTTAATATCTTAAACAATAAAATTTTGTAAAATGACGATATGTTTTTTTCCCGGTCAAATCTCGAGTTTGTTTTTTAATACCAAAGTAGTTTGTTTTAAAAAGATATTGTGACAACCCGAACCTTTTTCCGTTAACGTTAGCTCGATTTCATTAAATAAATTTCGATTTTTTTTATTTAGTTCCGTCAAATTCCTATGGTTTGGAAAATCATTTAAGTTATATAATTGAATTTTCTTTTATGATTCGGAACCAAAATCGTGCGAAAACCGAGTTACTTCGAAAATCAACGAAAATCGGTCTGACTGGTGTTCACGGTCGTGAACCCGATCACGCCGTACACCTGTTCACGGTTGGTGGACCCCACCACCGACCATACATCCGACCTATTAATATGTGCTCCTACCCCTCATTTACACTTTTCTGGCAGAAAACTCCCCCATTCTCTCTCTATCCTCTCAACCGTAAACACAAAAATACCCTATTTTCTTCCGAAAATCACCAAGAATCACCTTTGGGTGTTGTTGTGGAGCATCTAAAACGCGTTTTTCATCGAATCCAGTATTGTTGTTCTTGAGTTCACGGCTGCAAACCCTTCAAATCTTCAAATCTTCAAATTTTCAAAGACCGAAATCAGTTCACGGCAGTGAACCCTTCAAACCTTCATATTTTCTTCAAGAACACTGATCACGACCGTAAACCATTCAAGGGCTGTTCACGGCCGAGAACAGTTCACGGCCGCAAACCCACCCTAAGTAGTGAACTTAGCTGAAAACCCGCTTTCTCCGATTCAATCGAGTCCCGGTAACATTCCTAAACCAAAAGCAAGTGTTTTTCCAACACTATAATTAATTGTTTCGCTAATAGAATGCATATATGTATTTAACTATTATTAGGATCCCGTTAAGTGCCGCGTACATCAACCCGAGGGTCTTCATTTCCAGTTTCGTTGTCCGACACTTTCACGCAACTAACGGTAAGTTCATACCCCTACACTTTTAATGTTTTTAACGTTTTCACGGGGAGGATACAAGCAAGACATAAATAAATATTGTGACTTATATAAATAGGATTAACACTCATGCGATTGATTCAAACCAAAGATTTTTACATTTTATAAAACAGTTAGATATTCATCCCTTTTGTAAAATGCTGAGCATAAGGGAAGTTTTCAACATAATTCTAGAGTTTTCAGTGTAAAACATAGATTCAATGCGAACAATCATATAAGCTATATAGGTATAGTTTATGCAACAATTATCTTATCAATGCACGAAACATAGATTCAATGCGAATGTTAGGCGTGTCAAACCCAACAAATAAAGGGGTACAAATGACTCCTTAAACACTACTACTATGCATTAAAAACGTAGTACAAGGTAAGTAGGGTCGATCCACAGAGACACGGGACAAGTGTTTATACCTTTTTGCGTAAGGTACAAAAATGGTCACAGAATGGGGGGAATTTATAAGCAATGATTTAAACTATAGAATAAAGCAATAAGTAAATGATTGATTAAGTGAAATAAGTTCAAGATTTGTAAGTACTCCAACTTTATGCAAGACAAATTAGCAATGTGATTCCATGGATGACAAGATATTTATTTAATTCTATCTAAGTTGGTACTTGAAAGTGTTAACAAGCTCTAACACTTCTCATTCACCATAATAATTAACCAAAACAAGCTCTTTGATTAATCCTAACCTTACCAATCTAATCTAAACAAACTCTTAGAATTAGGTTGAAAGATTGCATTAAACTTTATGTGAATGTTCCCAACAACACTCAATACTCCTCATAAGCTCGGGAGCATAAGAATGTGTGAATAAGATTTACACTAAATTCATTCAATAGAAATCAGTTTAGTGCTTGTTACCTAGTCCAATTTACAAAACAATTACGGATTTTGCAATTAGATAACTTGAATGATCTAACCCTAATTCAAATGGCCAGTAAGAATCACAATTAGAATCAAACATTCGATTGAGACAAAATCAAATTCACTAGATAGAAAATTGAACGAAAACATCAAGTCATATGATTGAAATCACAACTAAGAAGTCAATACATGAAGTTGGAGAAACTAGGGTTCTAGCCAATCATGGCTAGAACAAGATCACAAATCTAGAAAATGAAACTAAAATTCTTACAAAATGAAATCAAATGTTCCCAAGTGTTAATCTACTTCCAAAAAGCTCTGAAAATCGCCTTCTCTCTGCCCAAAAGTCGACCCCCTCTTAAAGAAATTGGTTCCCCCCCTTAAAAATATTGAAAAACTGCTTTAAAACCCGCATTTACGTTTACACGGCCCGCGTAAATTAACACTGTCATTTACACGGCCCGCGTAAACGCAAAAATATACTGTGCAGAAATCTACGTTTACACGGCTCGTGTAAACGCAAGGCTTGCATTTACACGGCCGTGTAAATCTCTGTAAAGCCAAAATCTTCATTTCTTTGATATCTTGCTCCTCGGTGCTCCGCAAGTCCTGAAATTTTGTCCGCAACTTTTATTTACCTCCCCCAACAATATCCTACCTCCAAAAAGTCCCTAAAATATCACAAAAGTATGTGAATGAAATTGCCTCATGAAAAATCCCGAAAGACATGCAAAATGCATGAGTTTAAGCCTATATGCAATGTACTTTTATGAAATAAAGCTACAAAATGGGTACATGAAATGCACCTAACAAATCTCCCCAAGCTTAAACCTTTCTTGTCCTCAAGAAAGAACAAGAAAATTTAAACCGGAGAAAATAAAATAAAAGAGAAGAAAAGAAAATCAAAGTTAAACTTTTTTTTTTGAAACTTGATGCAAGAAATCAAAACAAACATGAAAAAATATATCCAACCCAATTAACCCTGTTTTGTACCATAGTTGAGAATGTACCTGTCATGCCTTGAGTCAACTTGGCTTTAGTCTCAAAATATTATATGATAATAGAAATAAGACTTTGGCCACTCCCTAATACAACTCAACAGAATCAAAGATCACAACACTAATTCCCTTTCAATATCATCAAGTCAATTCTTGGAACAAATTATGGTCTTACTCTCGTGAAATTATATGTGACAAAACATGCTCAACCATCTTTGTTTCATAAAATATAACAATGCCCGATTCCAGCTATTTGTTGATCAACAACAATCTTTTTCTGAAAAATCTTTTCTAAAAATTCCCTAATATTTATCCAGATTGGTTACAAACTTCAAACCACTTACACCAGTCAAAGTAATTAACATTCAGTCCAATGTCATAAGTTCAAATCCAAGTCCAAGGGAATCTTTTGACAGCCAAGTATTTTTCCTAAACACAATATTCAATTAAACTATAAACACAATTATATACAAACTTCTTAATTACATTTTTTTTACAAATAAAGCTCATGGCTTTCTTTGAAATCCGTGTAACGGGCTTCCAACCAACACATCCAGATCAAATGACCTTAGTGTGCTAGATTTAAAAGGATCACTCGGGTTTACTTGCCCGAACCTCAAAGGCCACAGATTAGCTTTATTTGGTTATTAAGTTCATGACTTTCTATGGAACCCGTGTAGCGGATTTTCAACTCAATCAGTCCCAAACAATTTAGCTTTAGGCGATTAGGTGTAAAACACCCCTCAGAGTTTACTTGTTCGAGTCCCAAAGGTCACAGATTAACTTAATAATATATTTTTTTAATTTTTTTTTTATTTTTTTATTTTTTCATATAAATAAGATAACATTTAACACTCTTATTAATTTATTTGCTAGGCCTATTTCTTTATATTTTCGTCCTTGACTTTTCTATTGTGGGACATCTCTCGGTC